GCATCGACCGTGTAATCAGTATGTAATTGACAGGTTAATAAAACCAAACAATACTTGATGAGAAAGACGCTGAATGCCCGTACGTGGGTTGTTTCATACACAAGCAGGTACCCGAGAAGGACCACTGATCTTCCGGAAGTCAGCTGAATAGCGTCTACGCATGCAATTAACCAAACCCCTATCGGGATTTAACCCCCCAGCAATAATAAACAAGTGCTCTAAACAACTCAGCCATGGAGACCCCTTGTTGCTCATTGATTTATGACATTTGCCGCTCAAATTACGCAGCCTTTATTTTTTTTAATGCGTTTATTTATGGTCGCCGCCGGAAAGCCCGTATGGGCGACTGTACACTCAAGTCCGGCCATCCTAGAGCGTCCCGCCGAGATTTTTTCGTCGATTTTTTCCAGCTTTATTGGTGGAGGAAGACCCCAAGTGCCCCTTCGGGCATTATTTCAGGCACGAGCGGGCACCTGGGTAGAACCACCGACCTTCCGTAAGCCAGCTGGATGGCTTCCTCACAAGAAAGATTTCGACCCGAGTGAGGATCGAACCTACAGCGGTGAGGGACCTGTGATCTCAAGTCAACGACCTCAACCACTCGGCCACGGAGGCCCCTCATTTATGTTCTTTTACTTGTTTTTGTTATAAATGTTATTTATACTTTCTTCTTTTACAACAAGTATGCACTTTATGTTTCAAATTACATGGTTCTCAGTTCAATACTATAATCATCAGTAAAAGCCTGCAAACAAAATAATAGCATATAGAAGAAAAATGATTTATTGATACTATAATTCTAAAATATGTCATCATATGTAAAATGCAAATGAAAACTACATACAAAACAAACGTATGTGAGAGTACTGCTGTATGTAAGTGAATTATTTTCACCATAAACATAAGGACATGTGCACACATATGATGTTACTCGGCAAAATGTCCAAAGTTTATCAAAACCACAAATATTGTTAATTTGTTTGTTTCGAATGTAAAGATCAGCAGTTGCTTTAGACATAAAGTATGTAAATGTACATATAAACCAAAAGTTAAAATGACATGCTTGTTTACAATATTTCGGATTTGATGTACATATCATATATGTCAATTGGTATTCTAAAAATTACTTTGACTATTAGATCATAATATAACTGATATACGATTGGTAATTTACATTGACTGATATGTTACAAAAATACTTAAAGTCATTGTTCGAGTTAGGGAATTTGGAAGATGTTTCGATTGGTCAATAATAAGGAACAATTTAAAGAAACATGTTAATAATGCCCTTGTGTCAATGTTAATATAGTTTGTATCTACTATATAATCAAATTTATTTCAAATCTCAAAAAAAGAACAATAATGAAAGCTGTTTGTTGCTATAATTCTCTTCTTTTCCTTTACTGTTAATCATGCCAAGATAAAAAAGTCCTAAGACTATGTAAAAAGAAAAGAAGTATATCGAGGAGAAAAAATGATGAAGATAAACACAACTGAACTTCAATTTAGCATATTGTGTTTTATATCTATTTTTGTAACGGTAGATATAATTAACATTTGAATTTCGATGTTACGTCATGTGAATTTCATCATCATGTAACGGCTGTACAATCTGTCAAGGGAGGTAATCACTGTGAGGAGTTTGCGAATAAGTATCTTGTGAAATTACTTTTATGTAACGATAAAACAAAACGCTAAACGTATAAGAAGATCTAGTACATATTGAAATTAATTGACTCAAATGACAATTTAAATTTTAGATGCAAATCGTCATTTCGAATGTAAGAAGTAAATTTATAGATATAAAATGCACGAGATAGAACAATATGAAATTAAGCTACTTTATAATATCTCAAAGTGCTCTATATGAGAACCGAATGATACTTGATACAAACATTGAAAAGCTACAAAACAGATTGACAAAAAAGAAAAACAACAGAAAGACCTCCCACAAAACAACATTAAATTTTACAAAAGACAAACTGACTGTTACAGATGGACTGCTTATGTTGATGCTGTGTGTAAAGCAGAATTCACTTCAAAGTTTTCTTTCAGAATTAAGACAACAAACAACAACAACAATAAAAAAACACGGATTGTCAGTAAAAGCATGGTATATTGAAACCAAATTCATTAGTCAGTTTTATTTTTCAAATTTAATTTAAAAATGTGTTTGCTTCATTGCAGAATGCAACTCTGTGTCTAGTTTGGTTCTTCTGGACTCGACCAAGAATGTCAAAGAGGAGGACAGACAGCGAATGGTCTCATTGGCTAACCTGATAACAGCCTCTCTACCTGACGACAGTCTTTCAAGTATTTACCTAGTCGATGACAGATACACCAAAGTTGACAACTTAGATGGTGTATTGAATGTGTCACCTAGTCAAAGTAGCAAGATTACCGCTTCAGCAGTGGAAGCAGCTATTGTTGACGCTTTCCCTGTAACCTTTTATCCAACGGAAGCAGAGATAATCTTCATTTTGACAACGGATACAACAGTAATTGATATACAAGATATTATTTTGAAGAAAAAAACGTTTGTTATAGTGGTTGGAACATCTATACCATCAAGTGCAACAGACATCGCATCAAGCGCAAGTCACGTTTATTTAGTTAAACCTGATGGAGAGGACATTGTAGAAGTTGTGAAGGAGATACGACAGCAAACATGTAAAGGTAGGATATTGATAGGACGAATGAAATTGTTGACTTCCCGAAGTTCTTAAAGAAACCATTATCAATCATCGGGATAACATAGAGGACATATGAAGTTTATCAGACAATAGTATGTAGTTTTATCAGCGAATAGTAACTATATAGTCTAGTATCTGGGGGTTCTGTGTGCATAAAAGGTTTCCTAATAATGTTTGCAGAACATGTTAGAGGACTATCTTACTTGTAGGAATATGGAGCGTAAAAGGTTTCTTAATTGTAGGAATATGGAGCGTAAAAGGTTTCTTAACAGTTTTTGCAGGTTGTAAAGAGAATATTTAAATTGTAAGAATATCGAGGGTGATAGCCTTAAATAGTGTGGTTTGAATTTGCAGGCTGACCTGGTTCTATACTTGTGGCAGACGCTAAATCACTTTTAATTCCAACTGAGAATGGGTAAACAATAAACTAGAAGGGAATTTATATGTGTTTTATGGCTCCTTATATGCAATTATATGATGAGAGTGTATAAAATGTAACTATAACTCTCAGAAATTGTGTCACCGGAAGTTTACGGGTTGACATTTTTCCTGTTGCCGTTCTTATACACTTACTATGCCACAATGTATTCCTGTTACCTTTTTGATGTCATGCTTATATCAATGTCTTTATTTTCAGATTCCTATTTTTTGTGTGATGTTGACAAACATAAAGATAACTACCATTATTCTACGTGCGTTAATTGCCTTGATGTCTGTTCTGAAAAACGAGTCCGTGAAGCAGACTGTCCTCCTTGTCCATGTAATTATTAAGCTTTTTTCATTTTATATAAAAATTGTTGTCGCCAGACATGTAACCCCTTCATACCTTAGCAAAATATTCCATTCACATAGTTTGAGATTAGGAGAGAAAACTATCAAATCTGTTTTCCTGCATAGCGTTATTGTATTACTTTCATTAAATTATAGTTAGTTTATTTGATCGTCCGAAAACTAACTCTCGTCATTTTGTCCTCAGATATGCGACTTCCACCGAAGGTGCAAGAAATAAAACACGGACCAAACACTGATGATAGTAACCCTGTTACATACATAACGGACAACAAGAATACCTTCATTTTTTCAACAATCATGACCATTGTGGTGATAGCTATTGTGATTGGGATTATTTCGTCATCGTATGCATGCTATCGCCGGAAAGTTGCATGTTTTGGCAGAGAATCTCTAGAAAACGTTGGTATGCATCAACGCGTGCCTGAAACCGTTGCAGTACTAGAAGAAGGGGACCAGGTAAGATCACGTGCGCTTTTGTTCAGGAAGGGCTTATTATGAATTTTACATGTTTTGTTAATAAATCAAATAATAACATATAAAAAATAAACAAATGCAACATACTTTTTATTCATAATAATTGATTGTTAGTATCAATACAAACAAACACTACAGCAGTGTAAATGGCTTTTTTGTTGTTTTTTTTTTTGTTGTTGTTGGCAAATTGTTGGTAAAGGAAATTAATAATTTTGTAAGATAATATTTTACTGTCAAAATTGGTTCACAATATGAACGTGAAGATAACAGTTAGCGCAGTGAAATACGATATGGGATTTGGGTTTCTGCCTGGACTAGTTTTATCCACTCATTATAATACGGTCCAAAAATACCAAAATTCTTATTGTTATATTGGTCAGTGGAGATACCTATGAAGCTATCATATGGTGCTACTGGAAGCACCGTGTCTAATCTATCTCCCATAAAGGTTTAAGCAATAGTATGAAAAACATTTGAGCCGCGTCACGACAAAACCAACTTAGTGCATTTGCGACCAGCATGGATCCAGACGAGCCTGCGCATCCGCGCTATCAGATCCTCTACTTGTTATAGGGTTTGTAAGCGAACAGCATGGATCCTGATCAGACTGCGCGGATGCGCAGGCTGGTCTGGATCCATGCTGGTCCAAACGCATTATGTTGGCTTTGTCAGGATGCGGCTCATTTATGAGTTTTAAATTAAAATGAGTTTTAATTTGTTTTTCTAGAATATACCACAAGGAGCCGTAGACAACCGAGAGCCATTACTACCTCCTTCCCAGCCACCTTCAAATCTCCATGACTTAGGTAAGATATGGGAATTCACTTTATGCTTGAGTATTAAATTTGGTGGTTTTGTCACAAAGGACAATTTATTTGGGTTCTTAAATTCATGGATTGTCTTTTTTGCACAGAAGTAATAGTGAAAATAAAGTAATGCAATATTATCTTCAGCAGTCGAAATAAAATTTTGTTAAATTTTCAATAAGTTGATTGACTTATCAACGAAAACCACGAAAATTAGTACCCAGCAAAAAAAAATAATGATTTGGCAGTATGTGATGTTTAATGTTAATATTTTTTAAAACCTGATTCAAAAAGTTTAATGATTTCTAGAATATTGTCTTTAACATTCCCCGTATGAAGAAGTTGTAAGGTGAATATAGTAGAATCAGCCCGTCCGTCTGTCTCGCCTTCCGTCAATTTGGCTGTCGGGTGTAACTTGCTCGGGTCATAAAGAAAACACATTTGCGGTATTAACTATAAACTGTAGAGATAAATAAATATTTTAAGGAAAATTAACATTTTAGCATTATGTGTCTTTAGTACAAGCCTTAAGTTATTAACCTGTGTGATTTCACAAAAATAATGATGTCCGAATCTAACCTCATAGACTTTTACATATAATTACTAGACACTGCAAAGGTGGAGAACTCTCGTACAGGACTATTGAAGTGCTAAGAACCCCGTAACATTTTTTTCATAATTGTAGAGTTATTGCTCTTATCATTTTTTTCTATTGCTATTTTTTTTTATCTCAAATGTTATGAAGGCTTTAAAGAGTGGTATATTTCTTAGAGGATAAAGCCATTTGCTGAAGAGCCATAATGTTCTTTTTATTCTTTTATTATTCATTATTGTATTTATCTATTATATATCTATTATTTATTTTTTTATTTTATTTTGTAATTACATAGTTACTTTCATATTTGTCAAGAGTGTAAGCTAAAGTAAGTTAATATAACACAGTACTGACAAAGCGCCGTGCGGTTGGGGAGGGGTTGGGGATGGGCGGGTATCTTAGCCATGACCGTGGGCAATTCTATAGTTATTATTATTCTGTCTGCAAACAAAATTATGATATTCATTAGCAAAATAGACTGTAGATATCTATCAACAAACGCAACGATTTCCCTCAAGTTGGAGATGTATGTTTAAGTCCAGTTAAGATCACGAACTCATTTCATCCATATATATTAGACGCAATGCTTTATTTACATATGATCTTCAATATTAAAGTTAACTTTAGATAATGTGTCAAAACAACATATACCAGTATCTATAAAAAATATTGTAATTTTCAGAAGCTTGTGCAAGTGGTTGCCAAGGACACTCAGGACGGTATGTCAATATTCGCCATACTGAGTCAGGATGCGGTATAGAAGAGACAACTGTTTAACTACCCAATCATTGTAGGTTTTCGGGAATTTCCGGATTTGGACAACTGTGAAACCAGCGTTTTTTTTTCTAAAAGAAGTGACAAATATTTGAATCATACAAATGCAAGAAATAGAATCGTTACACGTGACACCTTGTCTTAGTGATGGAGTAAATACAGCCGCTTATTTTATTAAATTATTTAATTTAATTACGATGGTCTTGAATGCTACATTTTGGTGTGTTCTTTAATGAGTGCTTATTGAAGATTTTTAATATTATTCATTGGAGAAATATGTTGTTTGCCCTCAAGGGAAGAACAACATAGCTAACATACCAGTAAGATCTTTTGCAATAGTATATTTTTATATATTTTTTACTTTTGATATATCCCCGAAACCGAATGCATTGCCGATTACGGTTTTTGTGGGATGATTACAGTTTTGTAGCATTTAGTCTACTTGTTATTTACTTTATTAATATATATTACATTTAATATATGTATGCACTATTTTCTATAATAGAAATAATCATCATTTTTTGTTGTTGTTTTTTGTTGTTGTTGTTTTTATTGTACTTTTTATACCGAATACACTCAAGTTCCATTCCTCCCAAAACTAAATTTTTATTATAAAAATAAGCTGTATTGTGTAAGAAAGTAGATGCATTTCGGGCCGTCAGAATCATGATGTGGTACAAGGAAGACAACTCTTCATATTTATATAATTGTTACTTTAGGCATTACATGTATATCCCTTCGTAATAAAGTTATTATCAATTGGATGACGTCATATTGCAAATTGCCAACTAAAGACGCTGAATGTCCGTACGTGGGTTGTTTCAGTCACAAGCAGGTACCCGAGAAGGAACACTGATCTTCCGGAAGTCAGCTTAATAGCGTCTACGCATGCAATTAACCAAACTCCATATCGGGATTTGAACCCCCAGCAATAATATGCAAGTGCTCTTAACCACTCAGCCATGGAGGCCCCTTGTTGCTCATTGATTTATGACATTTGCCGCTCAAAGAACTCAGCCTTTATACAATAAAATAATTTCCCGTTCTTATTATATCATGTAAACAGAAACTTCGTGTTTATCATTTATAACGTCGAGTTATTGCAAGGGAGATAATTCTAAATCATTATAATAATTTATCTTATTAGGTTACCTTTCTTACAATATTGGAGCAACTACATGTAAATGTACGGTGTCCTGTTTTGGTCACTATACATTTTATATATATACATGTATATCGCAGGATTTATACTAAATTCTCGCGATGAAACTAGCGAAATTTGGCCGAACATGTAATTTGTCGCATGTTTAACATTAATCCCCTTTTTGTGACCCTCATGAGCATTATTCTTTATGCTGCTTGTAAATAAATGGCAAGATTATTAACTGGCGTTAATTCTTGCGCGGTTCTTAAAAAGGATTGCTTTGTCAAGTTTTTTTATTCTTCTGATTCTCGCAAGGATTAAAGTTACGTATCCTCGTGAGAATTAAGTCAAAATATCGCATATCAACTAGCGACACAAACAAGACACCGTATAAATGTTACACACATAATTTACAAAATAAATAAAATAATAAGCTCAACAGATAAAGAGCTACGTCTATACGGACCCTGGGTTCACGTGTTTTAGACCCTGAGTGTGGCGTAAGACTCAATAAAGATCTCTGGGTCTGAGGTTATAAGGACATTTTTAACTCAAACTTTGATCACGAGTATTTTACAGGTCAGACAACAGCACAGAATAAGCACTGGCAAAAGAATTCTCAAGTATAAGAATTCACGATTTTAACTTCACGAATTCAACGTTATGAATTTCCGTTTTGAGCCACACGATTTCAGCTTCGTGAATTCAATCGTGAAGTTCAAAACATGAATTCATGAAGTTGGATTCATAAAGTTGAAATCATGAAATCTTAAAGTTGAAAACGTGAATTCGTGAAGTTTAAATCGTGAATTCACGAAGCTAAAATTGTGAAGTTCAAATTGTGAATTCATGAAGTTGAAACCTTGAAATCGTGAATTCAGTAAGATAGAAACGTGATGTTCAAGTTATTAATTAACGAAGATGAAATGAGAATAACGAAGTTGAAATGCCCCCACGGACCTTTTGTTGGCAAAAGTATACTACAGCGATGAAGACTGGGATATGCAACCAGTATAGAACATAGACGGCCTTTGCAGCTTGGCCTGGCTGTATAATAATGAAATTAGGACCGCAATTATCGCTAGAAACATCTACAAGAGTATTGAGAGATTTTTATTGTGTTTCTATACTCGTAATATTAATTCTTATTTGAGATTGTTTGGATCTGGAATCCAACCAGAACGAAAACGAATGCCTTTATTGGTCATCCTGAAGTGCTTACGCCTAACTTTTTTTGTTCAAGAAAATAATTGAAGAATGCTTGTTTCCGAAGAATCTAACGTTTTGTCTTTGAAATTTATTATTCAAAGTTAAACCATATTCCTGGCTCAAAAAGGACGTGCTATCAATAATACAGTCTGAGTTTTAATTTCAAAGATGGTGTTTTCAAAATTTGAATAGTACTTATTATAACTTATTTTAACTATCTTTAAATACAGTTTTCTTATTCCATTTAACGATAGTGTTTTTATCTTGACTTGAATAGTGTTTACGCTTAGTTTAACCACTTTTTATAAACTCACGATTAAATCATTATTTATAAGCTAGACGCTTTAAAAAATGTGTTGTAATGCAGTATTTAAACGATATAAAAACATGCACTATAAAATTAATTTCAAGTCATAAGAGGTCGTAAAAATAGCTTTTAAAGGCTAATTTTAGATCAAAAGTAATAATAATGATATGGATTGGTAGGGAAAAAAAATCAAATTTCAATTAAAAGAATCTTAAATTATCATATAAAATAATCTTTGTGGTTAACATGTCATCATACATCCTAAAAGCAGAAGTCGTCTGCAAGTTGAAAACGCTGTTGATGAAAAAAATAGAGCAGGTGAACTGATTAAAAGCAGACGATACGATGACAAAATTTTAAAATCTCTAAAGTGCCTTTATTAATATTTTCTCAGACTTCTATGATTAGCCGTAACGATGCAAGTACATTTGTATTTGTAATTATGTTATGTATAACAACATTTCTAAATAACTCTCTATTTTTAAAAAGCGCACCTGCTGAAGAGGTCAAATCGCGCGCGCTGGGGTCACAATTCACCTGTCGCGGGCACCTGCCTCACAGTGAAACGTCTACAGAAGTCTAAACGGGCGTTGTTATGGTAATTTGGAGACAATACCGCACCAAAAATTACGAACAAGGTGCGAATCTGCCAGCAATGCTTTTATAGCGAAATATCAAACATCGTTTAAATCTGAAGTGTCGATTAAGTTGACATTTAAAATGATTGAATTACTTTGTCAATTTGTTGAAATTTTAATTTTACAAGAAACAATTTATCGAATTCAAATCACATTCTAAATCATAATCATTAGATGTGTATTCTGAAATATCCGTACAGCTATTGTACATGTACGATGGATCCACCCACACACCTTCATTACTTATACTAAAGACAATCTGCAAAGAAACGCTCGGTACAATCTACCCTCCCTCAACCGCATACATAAATGAATCCATAAAAAACATAACCACTTGTATTGAAAACGGTTATTAGGTTATTAACATTAGAAATTCATAATATCTGAAAACCGCAAACTCATTTTGAAAGTACAATATTTTTCAATGTTTACTTTAAGCATGTAAATAATGATTCACTTATCATTGTTAAAAGGGCATTAGTTTCTGTCTTTTTTTTTAAAAAAATAGGCTATAAACATATAATTGCATAATATTATGCTTTCAGTTTTATATATAAATAAAAAAAACCTATAGATTTGGTAACATGTTTTGTTCTTGAAATTCTTATCATTCAGTAAAACCGTTAAATGCATTTTAGCCTTCAAAGTTTCATTTTTAGATAGAGCAAATACTTATCTCTAAATGATTAAAATGATGTCCCTAGTTGTTTTTTTTTTAACTTATCTAGGTAGCATACAGCGGATATGTACTTTTACATACAATAAATAAAATCCCTAGAAAATATGAAAATAAATATATATTTAATAATAACCAATAAATAAAAACTTCACTAAAGATTAGCCCAGCTGTGCATAAATCCGATATGCTATTTTCATTACCTGTATCAAAACATTATTTTCCTTTATTATAATATACCTGTTGTTATGATATTTATTGACATATAAATGTTTAAATTACAAAATAATTAAAGCCAAAGTAGAATCCATATTCCGTAATTTTTTTTTTAAATTAACTCGCCAAAGCTAAGTATTCTACATAATTGATGGATATGTGTATACCCACACGAAAAGATGCTAAATCTCGGAAAGAATAATGGAATGTGATTTACGCGGTGCGTTTGCACTTAAAACTAGATCGGGATTATGTTGATCTTGGCAAAGCAAAGGTACCCACCCCAAAATCTCCACCCCGAACTGAATTCAAACTCCAAATCAAGATTGTCTTATAACCCTTCCGTGTTATGCAATGATTTCTTTACGGACAATAATTGTATATTTCGGGATTTGCCTAGACGGAAGTACGGAACACCTGTCGGGCCATCTTATGTTTGAAAAAAATATTTTACGTCAAGATATGTAAACGTTTCGTAGAAACATAGCATTCAGCAACGTGTTAAAGGTATTCCACGTGTATTGCATAATGTGAAATGAAGCTATCAGTACAAACTTATTCTATATTCTATCATAATGCATATAGGGTAACAGTAACAATTATAATAAAGCGTGACTAACGCTATTGGTGTCTTAACGCTATTGGTGTCTTATCACAAAATAGACAGATTTTCATTAATGTATATTCAGAACACGTTTTTATTCCTTCCTTTATATCTAAACCGAACAGAATAGAACAGAACATGTTTGTAATATGGAAAAAAAAGAATAAGAAAAAGAAATAAATCTACGTAGAGGTTTGAGTAAATATTGATGAAACTACACGCTTACAACAAATTTAGAAAGAAACATAATTTCTGAAGCTATAATGATTAAGTTATCTCGCTTGGAGTAAACCTTGATAAAAGATGCAATAAAAACATATCTATTTATTCAAGCCCTATTTTTTTTTGTCAACCGCTAATTTCAACATTCACCCCGTTCCTTTATCATGAAACATTATTACTGATCACTATAAACCTTCCGGTGTTATCAATACTAACCAGTTTTATATTATATTAGAATAAACTGTAAAAGTTAAAACAGGGTCTTTCAAATACTATTTGAAAGACCCTGCTTGAAGTTAGATGAATTAATTAGCTGTTCAATTCTGTTCACAACCTTAATCTAAAAATTTAACTTGCTGAATTAACTAGCTTAATGATAAATGCGTTGAATCCAATTTCAATATTTTTTTTCCAAAAAATAAAAAACTTAGTAATTTAATTCTACACTTAGATATCTAATTTCTTGTTGTGAAAAAAAGTTTAAAACTTTAATATTTTATCGATATCTTAGTTTTCCGGTAGATAGTTACAATTTTGTGTGAATATTTTATAGTACTTTTATATACAATGTCGTTTGGTTATTAATCTATTATCATGTCCACTAGAAAACCCACTGATGTACAAGAGCATAAAACGAAAATCAAAATGCTTTAGTTAGAACATCATAAGTTTTCATAACGAGGCGATGAAAACATTTTTGATGCTCTTAGAAAATGAATTCAGAACGAATAGGGAAATAATTTGTATATGTATCCTAGAGTTCGACTATTTGCCGGAAAAATTCTTACATCATAAAAAAGCAAAAAAGAAAATTTAACATATCTGAATTAAGTACTACAGAAGGTAGTAGAAACTGTATCAGATTACATATTTAACAATGGCCCTTCTGGGATTCCGTAGATAGCCAATATTTTATGAAAGGGTTTAATATTTGGTAATTCTGTAAAACTTTTGACCTAGATTTGGGTCTGCACTGCTCGCTATTTAGTCAGTTTTTTTAAATTTTATTTATCTATTTATTTATTTCTTTTATCTTTATTTATTTTTTTTTTGAAAATTTTCCTGTTGTGTCCATATATAATATGGAAAGGGTTAAGAAAACCAAGTAATTTGATGATTTTTATTTTACCCCAATAAATAATTCATTACATCGATATTTAAGTTATGTCATGCTACACTGAAAATGCAAAACACATAAAATAAATCACAAATTATAGAGATATAGTTTCAAGACATGAAAAACCAATTGAGTATGAAATGAACATGCGCGAGATCCTACGCCAACCAATTTATTAAATAGCTAGATAACCCATATTGTTTTATTTATTGCACAAAATGTCGAATATTGCAAGATAACTTTTCTTACAATATCACAATTCATATAGTCATATTTCTGCACGTGTCTTCGTGTTTAAGCAGAAGTGACATGCGCGAGAAGGTCTTGCTGCACGATCTACAACTGTACTTCTTGACGTCAGAATGCGTCTGCAGATGCGCGCGTAGATTGGACCTGTCAGCAAACGCTCGCAAACAGTGCACGCACGTGAATGGCTTTTCACCGGTATGCGTTCGCACGTGACCTTGCAGTAACCAAGGTCGTGAAAACGCTTTACCACAAATTTTACATTTACAAGGAAGAGTGTGCGTACGTATGTGCATTTTCAGAGCACCTAAGGAGACATATGTCTTTTCACAATATTTACACGTGAATTCCTTTTGCGAGTCCTGGGCACAATGAAACTGTTTATGTTTAGAAAGTCCACTGAATGTAGAATAACTTTTATTGCACGTTTCGCACTGATATTTCACAGTGTCCATCTCTTTGTCCTTTTTCTTGTCCTCCATGACTGAACCCTTGTCAAGGAACACCGTCGGCGTGCGCATGATAGGCGAACTTGTTTCACGATTATCTTTCATTTCCTCTTTCGCCAATTTACTTATAAAACTATTGTTTTCCGTGAATTCTACAACATGTTTAGTATCCGAGTTCTTTGAAATCGCTTGGAATGGAGATAGTGGTGAAAAATGCTGAGAAGAAAACATTCCCATGTTTGGAATGTATTTTAAATATTCCGCAGTAAATGGATTATGGCGCACGTGCTCCGGTAGAACCGGAAACGGATATGCAGAAAATCCTGGGTAAGGAATAAATGGATAATGCGGATAATTTTGGTATAAGGGAAGCTGCCATGGGTAAACGGATGAAACACTTGGAAAGACTTGGACTTGCAACTGAGCTTGAACCGCCAGGCTTCCTCTTTTGGTATTGGACACCTGAGTTCTGCTGCTGCAATTATAGGTTGGCCTGGGGCTGTACCGTTTGGCTCTGGGAACTCCCAGTTGGCACTCTGCCTCGCAAATTTTTGGTCACCCTGCAAAATTTAATTAAAATTGATTAGACTAAAGCCAACAAATTATTACTGAATTTGCCAATTTCATGCCCGAAACACCTTCCCCAGCCTTACTTTCTATCTTCAAAATCAAAACAATATGATTTATAGTGTTGCTAAATTGAATTGTTTTTAAAAAACATAATTCATTACGGCTCATAAGGAGCGCTTGACCCTCAGTAAATAAATACGTCTGCCAACTCATTAAAGGTCGTTGGTTCGAGCCATATTTGGACTCACTTTTCCTTAAATAATTATTTCAAGGGGGCCCGGTTTTAACCCAAACCCTTTCAAACTTCCATTACTTTCAAAGCTAGAATTAATGTTTTTTAAAAACAAAAATACTTTAAATGAAAAAGGGTTGTTCTTTTTCCCTTATTGTATGTTTTTAAAAAAACAAATTTTAACGTTTTTTTGTAGCGTTTTATATTTAAACGATGGCATAACGATAAAGCCCCTTACAAAATTTTTTGTTATGATAAAACTTTAAAACCATTCATTTACTTTATATTTTTTTTAGTGCTTTAAATTTTCCTTTTCTTGTCTTTCTTGCTCTTTCTGCCCCGCCCGTCCGATTTTTGACGGTCCACGGATGAACCCCAAAGGAAATAAATGTCCGTGCCCCGTTTTTCCCATTCTGTATGGACAAATGTTTTAAATTTTAAAAAAAGGGCTGTTTATGGGATGAAAAGAGGTTGAGTATGGGGTTTTAAAGACCCAATGAACCCCCATAGCTTTAAAATCAGGAGGATTTTTCCGCCCGGGCCCGCCCTTTTCTTTACTTTTTTAAATATAGTATATTATGCATATGTTTTTTTTTTTTTTATTTTGGTTCCTTATGTTCAAAAAATCTTTAAAATTTTTGAAATTTTATCATAAAGAAAACTTAGTTCAAAAAAATCTTTGTCGATGCCCCGTTTTTCTTCCAGTTTTTAAGATAAAAAAACGGTTCCCGAAAACCTTGGTGCTTAATTGGTATTTTTAAAAATATGTACTTTTTTAAAAACGGCCCCGTCATTTTTTTTTAAATTTGGCTTTTAAAGAGGTCCCCCGATGTAATCAAACCCGTTTAAAAAAAACTAATAAAATTTAATTTTGACTTTAAAGGGATCTTTTTTAAACTTTTATAGTTTTTTAAGAAAAGGTTTGTGTTCAAATCCCACTCCCCCTTTGAATAAGCCTGAACCCAAAACCTTAAAAAGTAAAGGGAAATTAAAAATTTTTTTGAATTTGTTTTTTTTAAGCCCCAAACATTTTTTAACAGGTGCATTGAATACTTTTAACAAATAAAGAATTTAATTGATAAACATATTTCGCTTTAAAAAGATTTTAAAAATGCAAACAAATAATGAATTTGAATAATATTTGAATATGTTAAACAGCTCTTCGTCTCATGTTTTCTCTTTATTTGAAAAGAAATGCGATTTATATATTTTTTATTTAATTTAAATAAACCCGAATTACACTGATTTTGACATTTGCATCAATTTGTATATGACTTAATGAATGATAACTAAATATAAAAAAGACAGTAAATCAGTAAATATTTGACTGTTGGCGATATAAAAGTATTGCGTAACACCCCCCAGATCGTACTGTGTGGTGCATTATGTCCCCACTTTTAAAAAGCTTGGAAGAAGGTGCCTTTACGGTTTTAACTTAGACTCTGCAGGAATCACCATAAGAGAATTTAGATTCAATATTTCTATAAGAGAATCTAGGGTGTGGTGCGAGGATGGAATGTGGCGAGTGTGCATCAACAACTATTCCAGTATATGTTTCTATGTAAATACGGAATTTCTTACACGTATCAATCTGAGAGATTATGAAGCAACGCGTGCGAGAGAGCGAAAACGAACCATAATGCGTTTTGCGAACCCAGCTGGAATCCAGAGCCAGCCTGGCGCAAGTCCGCGCAGTCTGCGTGTAATACAGAAGATCCGATGGGCTGTTTCGCCTGATGATCAGCTTTCGGTACTAGCGTGTTATGAGGTTGTGGGTGAATGCTGTATATATATATGAATCAGACTGTATCAGACTGCGCGTGAATTAAAGAATATTAGTATTATTACAAAAAAAAAAAAGCAACACGCAATATAATGAGAGAGATATATTATATGATTTTCATCCTTATCTATTATTGTAATATTAAAGCAAATGTCAAATAGATATATTAAAAGTATGTAAAAAGGATAACAGGAAAAGTTATTTTATTACTGCTATGAGAAAGAAATGATTATAATGGAAGGAAGTAAGGAAGGTGTTGGTTATGATTGTTGCCGACAGAGGTCGAGGTGTCCACAACAACCGAAGACCGATGGTCTGTGGATAAGAAATGCCGTCAGCAGCATACGTTGAAACCTGTGGGAGCTGGCTGTACTTAAGATCTAATTAAAGATTGTATACATTGATAATATATCTTTACTTTTCTTAATTGAAGATGGTAAATAGCAAATATGTTATTTTTTACAAGACGTTACAGGTCACAGCATTTCTAAACTCCTCGGTATATATCATTATTATGGACCTTGATCTAGAAAATCTTACTGCTTGTGTAAAAGAACATAGACTTTTTCTACATTTTATTATTCATTGAACCGAAAGTTACACATATTTCATATCACATAATTAATGCACGTGTTTCGCGATGAATTTTTTTTCGGTTCCGATAATCCTACCAAAACATGCATGATAAGTATTTTGATATACGTTTATAAATGTATAAAATATAAACTTTAAGATAAACTTGTATTTAGTGGTAGATGAACTGAAATAGTCTAATCTAAAGTAAGAATCGTACCATCTACCATTTTTCAACTACAATAGTTTGTGCGCAAACCATTTGTGAAAAAAGATGGTTTTCTTAAAAATGGTTAAGAAGTCACAAGTTCTTAATACTGACAGTATAACTGTTAACATCTTGATAAATAAAATTTAAAAAATTGTCCGAAACAGAGAAATATTTCTTACCAGTAACGTCATCTGACTTCACACTTTCCGTCTGCACGTGATTGTCGTTAACATCACGTGCACACTCCGTTTTCACTATCGCAGAAACGCTCATTGTAGCATTTAATAAAAATATAAATAATAAATTTAACACTGACGAATCCTCTGATCAAGCCGCTTTAAAACAATGTATGTATGTTTCTTTTCAAGATTACAATATAAATGTGTATAGTAAATGCACTGATTATGAACTAAGACCACTTCTGCGACTATCCGAGTTTTAAAGTGAACATAATCTCCACATAGCCTCTGCAAACAATTAATTCATTACAAACACCTGTCCAATTACAATTAAATCTGATTTCAAATCGTCCTTTCTGTTTACTGTCGATCGTAATGTAAAGAAACTGAATGGCACTTTATAAACTGATTTCGAATGTGCCTGTCAAATAATAAACGATTCACACCTTACACATTAAAGTAAAGCGAAATGTGTCTCGTGTCAGTTCAAAATGTTAGAACAAGTACAAAAGCTCACACTTAATGGTGTCAGTTGTTTTTTCTTTCTTCTACGGATTACTTATCAGGGATTTGAAAAATGTTACAGCTGTTAAAAAGAAAAAACGCGAATCGGCCACATTATGCACTTTCCCCGGTATATAAACACCGTGCCCAATAGCGAGCTTATCCAAAGTAAGCGTACGAAGCGTCTGAAAAATCCCGAATGCCAGCACTATCATCAAGCCCGCGAGAGTTAAAAAAAGTACCATTCAGCTGTATGAAATTTAGAGGATAACATGGTGTCACGCGTGTTAAACCGAATACTTAATGTTATTAGAAACACCGACTGTAGGCGCTATGTGCACATCGATTTGTGTGTTTCCATTGAAAAGTATCCTTTAAAAATTGGTTAAATAAACACGGGACACACGAATCCAGAACCGCCCAAATGTGGTAACGCAGTTTACGCATTAAAATCTTTTAAAATAATACAGGTGATAGCTAGTCTGTCCTTATCATTATATCAAAGATAAAAAGGAATATACCAATTTTCATTTTATGCCGTCCAATCGGACGGTACCCTAGTCATGACGATGGAAAAATTATCTTGGTTAGATTAGAAAATTATGTTACAGATAAAGAACAGATTCACACAATGATATTACGAACGCTAATGAGAATAATCATATGAGTCATGAAAATCACACGATCGCAACCCCTGTTCTTTAGAAAGCGACATAATATGATTGGGTTGTACGACACGCGACCACATCTTTGTTCCCGGATGATGTTAATATAAAATATCTTTTAGTCCCGCATACATGAAGTTGCGAACCAGGTTGGAACTTGTTATAGATGAGCTCATAAGAATTTCGACATATGTCAGCTTAGTCTATTATGACAACGAAGAGAAAAAAAAACGACTTAACGCGTCCAATCGTACATGAGATATCAACTATTGACAAGTGTTCTGCTATTTTAAATCTGGTAGAACCTTCATAAAAAAAAATAATCGCAGACTATTAATGTAATATTACATGTACTCACGAGAACAAGAGACATTAGGAAGTAAATTAAAAGGAAAAAGTCTTAAAATATCGTAGATCTTCAAAGAAACCTTGAAATATATTCAATAAAAAACACAATCCACACAGATTCCTAAACGAAGATAACCTTTTAACTTCTTTTAAGGTGAAATAATACATAATAGGAGTATTACATTTAACGAGTAACGTTAGTTACCAAATTGTTCCTATTTTTGATTTACCTATAGTATGTTGATGGGAAGGAAGAAATGCCTTTCTTGGTGAAAAATGTTCTCGCAGTTCGAGTGCCTCCTGTTTATAA